GGAAGGTACTGCGTCATGCACCAATGTTTTTCTTTTATTTTATTTTTTTTTTGACAATAAGATTATCTTCAAAATGTAGTTCACAAATCCTATAACTATTATAAAGTATATCCATTTTTAACAATAAATCTTCTCGTCTGCAAGCTTCTATCCACATTTTGGCACTACAAATTTTTAACAGAACAAATTTTAAACAAAGAATTTTTTGTATTTATAAATAATACTTCATTACTTACAACTATAAGAGTATTAGTATATTCTAAGTGTATTGTAAGTAATGAAGTATTTAACTTTTGTCAATATCTCATCTTAATAAATTTACAGTTTTCTCCTAATTAAGTCTCAAAATTGTCACTAAATATTGAGATATACAATAAATAAAGTTTTAATATTTTTTATTTGTAATTCCCATTTAAATATTTATTCCCTAAATATGTTGTGTACTCCGATCCATATATTTGATCTTTGTTATTTATATTTAACGAATTAAACATTGACAGACAACTTTTGTATATAGCAAAAAGTAGATGAGCATTTAGTTTTTTCATAATTTAATGTAAGTTTGTTTGGTGAAAAAGACAGCAAATATTTGAAGTTATGTTAATGTAAGTTTGTTTATTTGCAATCATGTTTTTATTTTGAAGTCTTGTTCTGTTGTAATTTTAAGATTTTCCCAATTTTCGATCTAATTATGTTTCCAACAATTTTTAGTTTGAGCATTTTAGGAATTTCTTTGTTTCGTTTAAATCAAATATTCTCGTGTATAAAACCCTCTATATATTTTTATTTCCTAAAAATACTATATTCGTATTGTTGTCTGCGAGCGCTTTCACACCAGTAGGCCAACATCTGTGTTGATTTTTTGACCTGAGCCTTCGGAGACAATAAATTTAATGTGTGTTCGTAGTTCTCTGGTTTTTATTCTGAACTATCCCTTGGCAAACCAAAATTTATTTTTTTATTGCTTCACTTAACGAGAGCTCGGGCGGACACGTCGGTGTCGGCTTACTCAAAGTCAAATTAATACTATTATGTAATAACTAATAATAATTACAAAGCAATAGTAATTACCTGTTATTATTCTTAGGAAATCTAAATAAACTTATTCCTTTTCCTGTCACAGATGAACATCCGCGAAACGCACAACAATAACCAGAAGACATTTTAAATACTTATAAATTAAACTTTAACTATAAACTATATTAACTTATATATTTAACTATAAACTAAACTATAAACTTTTAACTACTAAGTAAATTAGATAAATGGTCAAATGCACTTGTATAGTCGAGAGTTTACCACAGATGCCTATGGACTATCGTAAGCGACTAAAGTTGAAGAAAACGCACGTGTTTTTGACAGTAAAGCACCTTATTTGGGTCATGCGTATACAGAAAAGATACACGAATTCCGGGCCTCGTGTCGCTTCTCTTTATGTTTGAAGATATGTACAGTCGCCCAGATAAAGTTATCATCGATGCATTCTTTGCCTAAGATAACAATATTTGCCTGAGCGACCGAAACTATAAGGTAGTTTATCCAAATAAATTTCGTTTTGACCGTCCAGTGGTTTACACTTGGGTAGGTAGGAATAATATTTTACTTTATTTTAAACTTTATTTTTAAACGAAATATTGTTTATTTGGATGAAACCTGGTATGGTACTCATGACACGGTGAAAATAAGTTGGACGAATAATAACAAAAAGTGTTCTAATTCAGTACCGCCCAATAAAGGACAGAATTATAATTTTACACTGCGGTGTAGAAAATGGATACATCGACGATGTATTATTAATATCTGCAAAAAAAATGAAAGACGTGAATCTAGATTATCATGAGGATATGGAGGGTTCAAGTATAAAAAAAGTTCAACTCAGGAACCATAGATGTAAACGTTCAATGTTTTTTTGAAAAAAAAAACAGAAGTTAGTTTCTATAAAACTCACAAAGAAAGAAAGTACGTAAAAATATGTAAAAGAACAGTAAACTTTATAATTTTACGAAGATACTTTTAAAATGTGGCACCCGTGGTGTGATAATAATTCTGCAGCTGAAAATCCAGTGGAACCCTCTAATCAATTGGAATATTTACAAAGCTGTGTAGTAAAATGTAAGCGACATTTTCAATATCTCTCTGATGATCCCAAATATATGCTGAAACATGTTTATGAAGGATTGTGTTCTAAATTGTCTAAATAAGAAACAATTGTAGAAACATGTTTATCAGAGTGTCGAAAGCAATCTGATACAAGACTATAGGAGCAACATCTTCTTCTAGACAGGTGAGAAAGGATTGTGCAAATTCACACAAATAGAACCGCACCTAAAGGAACATATAATCAGAACAATATATAAAATGGAAGTGGCTAATATTTTTCCAACTATTGAAAGCTTTCGAAGTGAACTGGTTCGAAAGGATATTCTCTTATATTCAGCAACAACACTTTGATGATTTCTTAAAACCCATAATTTTAAGTAAAAAACTATAGACAAGCGTCAAACACTAATGGAAAGTACTAGAATAATTATTTCTTAAAGGGACATTTCTATCCGATAGATAACTGAGTATCAAAAAATGAAACGAAATCTTGTTTATTTAGATGAGACTTGGTGTGATACTCATGACAGGACAGAGAATTATAATTTTACACTGCGGTGGAGAAAATAGATGGATCGATTATGTATTATTAATATCTGCAAAAAAAAATAAAGATGCGTCTTTAGATTATCATGAGGACATGAAAAGTTTAATTTTTGAATCATGGTTTGAAGAATCTCTTCTTCCGAGATTACCTAAATATAGTGTGATTATTATATGGACAACGTATCATATCATTCAAGATTAATGAGAAAATTCCAAATAGTACTTGAAACAAATTCAAGAATTTTTATTTGGGAGAGATTTGTACTTTGAGGCATCATAGTAAAAAGCAATTGTTGGAGATTGTTTATAGTAGACAGTACCAGAAGGTATATGTTGTTGATAACTGTACTCGCAGTAATGGGCATACCGTGCTTGGACTTCCTCCTTACTATTGTAAATTGAACCCAATAGAGTTAATATGGACCCAACTTGAAGCAAATAGAAGAAGAAAAAACGTGGCTCCTAAATTTTTGTCTACTGCTCTCCAGTTAATTAGAAGAGAAGTCACAAAGATCACAGCAACCAACTGCAAAAATGTAATCAAACATGTAATCAAAGTGGAAAATGACTATGTTAAATATTTACCAGCAATAACCAAATTAACTATAAATTTAGAAGATACAACTGATACTAGTGATAACAGTGAATCTGAGTAGATTTTTAAGTTCTTATTTCCAACTAGGTGTTAGTTGAAACCTTTATTTTTATTGTAATTGTAGATATTCTCGTTTTGCTTATATATCTTTGAAAATAGAGTACAAATACACTTCATGATAGAACAAAAACGTACAACATATCGTTAGGTTAAAATGACAGCGTTCCAACTAACAAAATCGCATATTTGGAGTTATTAGTGTGAAAAGGTTCCAACTGATCTTCCCTATATTTTGATCTGACAACAGCGCTGGCTAACAACGCAATTCTGACTCATTACAATGCCAAGGTTCCATCCGTGAACATAAATAAAACCAAACTAGAATGACATTCTACAAATCGACAAATCGAGGTGACACATGAAACCTTGTCACTCAACCAATAAAGGTGGATTTTCACAGGTCCGATATCCGATGGTACGATGATACGATATAAATTTCAGAGAATTTCATTGGTTGAAAAATGACAGGTATAATTTTCGTACGAAATTAAAAGTCATCGGAAGAAGTTAAAAATATTTTAACTTTTGCACGAAAATCGGATGAATTTTGACATTGTTGACATTTCTAACTTGAACCTTAACCTTTTTTTTGTGGGGTGTTTATGTTTACTATTTGAAATATATTTAAAATGGAACAAAGACCTAATTATTATATAAATGCAATGAATAAAGTGTTGCTTTTGGGTCTTCTACACTATGTGAGGCAAAAATTACGAGAACGTAGCTCAATATAATATATATTATATATCAAACAAAACAGCTAACATTTATTGACAGTTCATTGAAATAAATATCAATCCATCCAATAATCTGACACATAACACATATATGTTAAAAAATTTCGGATACGACAATCAAATATATTCGTACAAAAAAATTTCGTATTTCGTGTCATCGGATATCGGATCTGTGAAAATCCAGCATAATTAAGATTTGTAGTTGTGTTATTAAAACGTTTGTATACTAAAATACTTTTACCTAAAAATTGTTTAATTGTATGTGATAATTACTTTTATTAACAATTTTTTACAGGTATTATTATTTTACAATATGTTCTCTTTAGTGAGCCTATTAGTGTTATCACTCCCTAGATATATCACAGAAGTTAACAACACCAATATTTTTTCTTTAAACTTTATAGAAAATGAAACTTTTTCTTAAATAAAATTAAATAAAAATAAAAACTTTTTTATCTAATTTAAAATTAGATATCTACGCTACTGCTCAACGAAGCAGCGGCCAGTCTAACATTGTTGCCATTTTCTAGGATTTTGCTCGTTCTGGGTCCTATAAATTTTCTCACGAAATTACGTGTCGACTATAACAGAGACCTAAAATTTGCATTGCCGATTCATCCATTTCGCTGCTAAGTGTTCTGAGTCTTACCTTATGGTGTCGAGTCAAAGAGTCAACTGGGAGGTCTTAATATAAATTGCTACAAGAATGCTATTTGGGGTGACAGTGAATAAAATTAAGATAGCTATGATGTAACCAACGTTCTGAAAGGACATGGTAGGTGAAGAAGAAGAAATCAATCAGCTAATTAAACAACTATGAAGCAGTTTTTATATATATAAAAATCATATTTAGTAGGCATTTTCAACACAGCATTTGATCTTATAGCCAAAACTCTCACACCATTTTTTCTCTTAAATTGTCTTCAGAGGCGAAAAAAATATAAACACAATTTTCCAATATATTTTCCAATTAAAGATTTTAATCTAAATAAAATAAATAAAAATTTCAGCTAATCACAATTTTCCTGCATTCACAATCTCAACAATATCTTTAAGTCTAGAAAATGTTTATATTGTTCTTAAGTATTATTGCTAGCTGCCATTGTCACGAACATTTGTTGAAAATCAGCTAACTCTTGGCCGAGCATCTCTATTCCTTGTCCCTGCCGCAGAGCCTCTCCATCCTTAAGAGGTACATTTGGTTTCTTTTTTTCAATTTCTCCACTATCAGGCCTTCGCACTGTAGAGGAAGCCTTGGAGGGAATCACTGGTTTATTAGGGGGTATAGGAGGAGGAACGCCTCTAGCAGCTGCTGCGTTTTTCTTGGGTGGAGTTTGAGGAGCTGTACCTGCAGTCTGAAATTGTGCATGATAGCCACCTACTTTGGGTGGTGTTCGCATCAAAGGCGCCTGTACTGATATGGGAGTTGGGGATGCTGATGTGGTGCTTGGTTTAATGGGTACACTAGGAGATGGAGCTATTGCTGTTTGACGGAGAGCTTGCCCTGGTAAAACTGACTGTGCAATTCCAGTAGCTGAAATTTAAAAACTTAATTAGTCCATAATCAACAGTTTGACTCAATGTTTACAATTCCGTCCAATTTGGACAAATACATCAAAGTATATACATAAAGGGTTAGGATAAACAAAATGCCCTCACTCCCAGAATTCAACTTTTTTCATTTTTTTTTTGTTTTATGTGATTAAAAAATAAACTTAATGCAATTTTAAGCCGCCACCCCCATCCAAGCAATGTATTGTATGTAATTAATTTAAAATTCACACGCATAGCTGATGCTTTTACAAAACTTGTCTATTTTTTAGAGACTCATACGTTGAGTGTACATAACCTAAAAATGCATATTTCTTCGCAAAAAGCGTATAACTTTTTTTTGAAGATGGCTGCAAGTCTAATTTTTTTTTCTATTTTGTGTATGCAATAAAAAACTATATTTATGATTTTTCCAGATTTTTCCGTCAGCTTAAAAAACTGGTTATTTGGGGATTTTCCCATTTTATATACTTTAAATATATCAAATCAAGGATTTTTATAGGTTATAATATATAATTTGTATTGACTGAGTCTATAAGGACAGGTCTACAAGGACAGGTCTACAAAGAAGAACAGTTCGCAGGAATAATCGGCAAACACTCACTCCATCAAAACACCAACGAGAACGGGGAATTCCTAATTAATTTTGCCAGCAGGAAAAACATGATCGTGAGCTCTACGTTTCTTTGCTCATCGGGATGTACACAAAGCAAACGTGGATCATGCCAGGTGGAGCGGGTTACTAACCAAATTGACCATGTCCTTAATAGACAAAAGAGCTGCCACCAACATCCTAGATGTAAAAAGACGAAGAGGAGCATGCTATGGATCTGATCACTTGCTGGTACACAGCAAAATATAGATGCAAGGATCTCAAGAAACAGAGATAAGAAAGAACAGATAAAAGAGCAGTTGGACATTGATAAACTAAGCCAACAAAACGTTAAACTGAGCTACGAGACAGAAATAACCCAGACACTTACAAACACAGATAACCTAGACATTGAAGAACATTGGAAACAAATGAAGACAAAAGTATTAAATGCAGCAACAAAGACCATCGGTAAAAAGGTAAAGAAGCAAAGGGCAGAATGTTTCAACGAAGAGTGTAGACGGGCCATACACGAACGAAATGAAGCTCACAAGAAATATATGGAAAGGCGAACCAGAGAAAGAAGAACATTTTTCGAGGAGCTACGACGCAGGGCGGATAAAATATGTCGAGGAGAAAAAAGAAAATGGGAAAATAATAAGATACAGAAAATGGAACAAAACCTCCAAAGCAACGATCTAAGGGAGGCATATAAATATCTTCGACAACTAAGAGAAGGATACAAACCCCGAACAAGTCTGTGCAGAAACCAAACAGATAAGATAATTAGTGAACCAACGCAAATAAAATCAGTTTGGAAAAGCCATTTCCAAGCTCTGCTAGGAGCACAAGGAAGCTCACGATCTTCGGATTTGCGGCACATCGAGGAAGGAGACGAAGAAATAAGCAGCCCGACTCTTAAAGAAGTCAAACAAGCAATACAGGCGCAAAGAAACAACAAAGCGCCGGGATTTGACGATGTCCCTTCCGAACTGTATAAATTAGGTGGCGAACATCTAACAACGCAGGTGCACGCGCTCATATCTAAGGTATGGAGGGAAGAAAAAATTCCTAGCGATTGGAAAAATGGGATTATCTGCCCAATCTACAAAAAAGGGGACAAACTTAAATGCGAAAATTACCGCGGCATAACCCTCCTATGTTCGGCCTACAAAATTTTTACATCCATCCTGAATAGGCGACTTCAACCATTATGTGAAAATATTATCGGCGAATACCAGACCGGTTTTCGACAAGGCAGGTCGACAATAGATCAGCTTTTTACAGTAAAGCAAATCCTTAATAAAGCTTGGGAACACGATATTGATGTTCACAATATATTTGTCGACTTCAAACAGGCTTATGACTCCATAAATAGAAGCCGGTTATATAACATCATGGAAAGCTTCAATATTCCCTCGAAATATATCCGACTAGTAAAAGCAACGATGGACTCCACAATAGCAACTGTACGCATACAGTACGAATTAACTGACAGCTTCGAAATAGTTCAAGGGCTGAAACAAGGTGATGGACTAGCTCCAACACTGTTCAATCTGGCCCTTGAATATGTCATCAGAAAGCTGAATGTCGGAAGAGCCAATCTCCTAACAAACAAATCTGTCCAGCTCGCCGCATATGCGGATGACATTAACCTCATGTCCCGCAGAGTGGATGATGCAGCAGAAACATATTCGCAGCTGAAAAAAACGGCCAAGGAGATTGGACTTGAAATAAATACACAGAAGACAAAAATACTAACACAGACGCGGACAAAGCGAACAAGAAATCAAATCAAAGTAGAGGATGACATTGAAACAGTGAAGAGTTTTACTTATCTGGGAGTCGAAATGAATACGGAGGGAACAGAAGAGGCCGAAATTCAGAAGAGAATAATGAAGGGAAATAAAGCCTATTTTTCCCTGATTAACATATTCCGCTCCAAGACGGTACATCGAAAATCGAAACTTAAGGTCTATAAAACTATCATCAGACCGATAGTATGCTATGGATGCGAGACATGGGTTTTGACAGAAAGCACTAAACGAAGATTAGAGGTTTTCGAGAGAAAAATCCTAAGGAAGATCTTTGGACCCATCACTCAAAATGGGATGTGGAGATCTAGATATAACCATGAACTCTACCAACTGTTCAAAGAAGCACCTATTGCAGAGTTCGCTAGAGTACAAAGGCTTCGATGGGCTGGTCATGTGGTACGGATGGATGCCGACAGATTGCCGAGAAAGGCCTTGGATGGTAAAATGCAGGGCAGAAGACCAAAGGGAAGACCACGTAATAGATGGGAGAACGAAGTCACAGCAGATGCGCACAACTTATTGAACGTCAGGGCTTGGAGACGAGTTGGCGCGGGAATCGCCTTTGTTGGAGGCAGAAGTTACAGGAGGCCAAGGCTCAATTTGGGCTGTAGCGCCATTGGAAGAAGAAGAAGAGTCTATAAGGACATTAAAAAATTTAGAGAAACATCTTTAAACTCGAAGTTGTTCTTCGAAAGTATTACTGTTGTAAATAATACTGTAAATACTGTTGTTCTTTTTTCGCCATACTAACACATAAAAAGGTCAATACGTTAGATTCGAGGAACACTTTGACCTTAACGGTATCTTTATACAAAATAAATGACAAGTTCAGTTTTTACTATTGTAATTGTTAGACAATAAACAGGGAGGAACTCAAGAACTTCCCTGTTTATTGTCGAACAATTACAATAGTTAAAAATTGAAGTTCTCCATTCAGCAATACAGGATAGTTTGAACCATGTTCTTTCAACCATTAATTAATAGAGTACCGGCATGTAAGTAATGTTTTATTTATTTACTAATTTATTACAATTCAATAGATTATTTTTATAATAATTTGTGGGTCTTACCTTGTCTGCTTAAACAGTTTATGTCATTTTGAAAATCCACAGACATGTAATATTGGCATAATTGCTGCAATTTATATCATTTATCTTTGTTTATCTTTATATGACAAACCCTAATATGGGTTTTATTATTTCATGCAATTAATTAACTTTGTATCGAGACCTGAAAATGCTTTGCAAATTGTAGAAAGCGAAACCGGTTGTCTAGATAGTTAAATTAAAATTGAATGTGAGCATGTCTTATTTATTATTTCTTTTACCTATTTGAAATGGACTCACACAAGCAACACATTCATGATTTAAATGACAAGCTGTTACTGTAACAAATGACCTGTACGGTTATCGTGAAGAGTAAATCATCTGCAACGCACATGGAGTCGCGCTCCGTGAGTTAAATACAATTCACAACCGTAAATGAAGAAAAAAACATTTTTTTACGAGGTAATTTTAAATTATCATTATTATAGTGCATTTTTTGAATAATTTAATAAAAAAAAGGACATGGAGCCTGGAATAAAAAAAAAAAGAAAAAAATTAACGTGGCAGGTAATGTGTTAACACATGCGAAAAGCTTAGTTTTCAAGTTTTTTTGGGGATTTTACTGATTGTAAAATCATGAGTCATGTTATATGTAGAAAGGTAAAAAAAGTTGGGTAAATTCAATAAAAACTACCAAATAACAATGGTGCTTGCTTCTTTGACACCCGAAAATTTTGATTCAGGTTGTATCGATCTCAAAAAATATGTTCAACCCCGCAAAAACCATACACAAAGCTGTTTTGGGAGCTCAAAGGCGTTTTGTCCGATTTTTGAATGTCCTAAAAGGACTCAATTATTTCAAATTATATATCACATATAAACAACCTTGATTTGTAGTGTATTATTCGTCTTCCGGTTTTGGAGCGTGTCATTTGTGAGTGACCCAAAAGTGGGTTCATCTCGACGTTTCGCTACAATTGTATGTAGCTTCTTCAGCGAGAACAAAGAAAAAGAAAAAAAAAACAAAAGACAGGAACATGCTCTCAAAAATCTCCGTTTCTCTTTCTGAGATAATAATCCTTCCTGCAGACAAAGGTAATGCCAGTCATCCTGGATACTCCTTCCTACATAGAGAAAGTAAACGACATTACTTAGGGATACATCCTGTTATAATACAATTTCCTCGAGACCCCACTCCTAGAGTCGAACGCGAAATTTCCCATGCCATCAAACAATCCGTATCTTTCCGATGAAGTTAAGAAGTCCATAGTTTCCGAAAAAACTCCATTCTGCCCCAGAATTTACGGTCTTCCCAAAATCCATAAAGACAACGTACCTCTTCGTCCCATTGTGACTACGATTAACTCTCCTACCTACAAACTCGCAAAGTACTTGTCGAATCAGTTTAAGACCTATACTGGTCGTACCTCCTTCTTATGTCCGAAATTGCCACACATTTCATCACCTTAATCTCCTCCCTCACGGTCGATCCCCAGACATTCTCGTCAGTTTCGATGTATCATCCCTATTTACCAATATCCCCATACATGACTCTCTAGTTGTTCCTGCGACATCACTTGAACAATGATAACAAGTCTTTGGTTTTGGCAGAATCTTGCGGAAAAATGCCTCCTTTCAACATATTTTTCTTTAGAGGCAATTTCTACAAACAAATATCCTGGAACACACCATAGGATTGGCAAAATTCTTCGCAAAGAAGGTATCAGGACTACTTTTCGACCACCCAAGAAAATCTCACAATATCTACCCTCTCCTAAGGACCCATTACCGCCCCTATCTTCCTGTGGTGTCTATTCTATTCCTTGTTCATGTGGACATGTGTATATTGGCGAAACTGGTCGTTCCGTCAAAACTCAGATTCAAGAGCATCAAAGATGCATTCGATCAGGTCTTTTCTCCCATTCTGCAGTTGCAGAACACTGCCAAGAAACCGGTCATTCCATATTGTTCGAAAAAACCCATATTATTTCTAAGAGCCCCTTCTTTTATTCCAGGAAAATCCCCGAATCTCTAGAGATCCGAAAAAATCCACATAATATCAATCGAGAGGAAGGATACTACTTGTCTCCCATCTGGAATCTCAGTCTAGAGCCGCCGTCCGGTGCCGCTCACCACGATGCAGCCACATGATTGGCCAGCGCGCGCTTCTTGACGTTCGCGCCACGAGAGTAGTGCCGATACGTCCCGACACGACAGGTCACCGCGACTATAAATAGAGCGGTAGCGGAGTAATCGTCGGATTCACTCCCCGCCTCTCGACGCGTTAGTGTTCTGAGCTGTTGGACGTGAATCCCTGTCCTGGCATTTGGTTTTCACCTCTGGCTGCGTTGAGTAGTTGAGTTACTGTGACCAAATGCCCATCTTGGTAGTTAGTATTCGCCTCTGGTTGCGTTAGTAACTGAGTTACCGTTGCTAACTACCCATCTTCCTGTCTTTTGTTTTCTTTTTCTTTTTCTTTGTTCTCCTGAAGAAGCTACATACAATGTGTAAGCGAAACGTCGAGATGGAACCCACTTTTGTGTCACTCACAAATGATACGGTCCAAACCCGGAAGACGATAAACTATAATTCTGACTCTGGCCGTGGAAGCCTACGATTTCATTTAACCTTGATTTGATCTATTTTGAAGTCTATAAAATGGGGAAAATGCCTAAACAACCCCCAAAATCCCAGTTTTTTGCGTTTTTAAACGTGGTGCACTTGACGAAAAAATCAGAAATAAAATTTTTAATTAAATACCCAAACTAGAAATGCAGCCATCTTCAAACAAAAAATCTACCAAAAAAATGCATTTAAAAAAAAATAATTTTTGGTGAGCGTGGCCATTTAAAATTGCGTTGAGTCTTATTTTTTAATCAGATAGAACGTAAAAAAAATGAAAAAAATTGAATTCTGGGAGTGACGACACTTCTATCTTAACGAGGGGAAACGAACTTCAACTAAAACAGTGTGAAGGGGACAACTAAAGATTATTACGAAGGGCACAAATGGGGAACATTTTCACAAATTATTGTCCAGGAATAATAAATTAATGAGGATGGAAAAAATGAGGACAAATAAAGTAGGAGCGCATAGTTTATTATATTAATTTTATTTACTTACTAGGCCCAGAAACAGGTACACTTGACACTGTTGCAGTAGGCTGAACTACTTTAGCAACACTACTGATCATTGCTCCACTACTGTCATTTGGTACAGAACGACTTTTAAGAACTTCAAATTCTGCCTTAAGTCTCTGTAGCTCTGCTTCTAATTCGTGACACCTAAAACAATTTCCTTTATTAGGTTCTCACCACAAGATGCTGAGAAAAATTAATGTATACTTCAGTTTTATAATAACTGTATAATTAAAAATGCTTTTACTGTAACTATTTATGTATTACCCTGATAAGATAATTATCCACAAAGAGAACCAAAAATTTACTACAATTAGCTGGTAAAACTGTTGACTATCTCTTCTTAAGCTCTCATACAGTGATCTCAGAAATAGAGTATTATTTTCTTGCCAACCATTACCGAGGATCGTGAATTAAGTTAGATTTTTATTTGACACAACTGTATCGACAGACACTGTACAAAAAAGTCTCCTCTAGAGATACATACATTTCTTACTGGATCTATGTTTAAATAAACAATCAAAATGAAATTCACAAGGAAAAATTCCTGTAGCTGGCTGTATACCACGTATAACAAAAAGAGGTTAATCTTTGTAAATGGGTATATTTATTTAAAAAACCCTTAAAAGGGCCACATCAATAAAACAAACGTTTTCGGACTCCCAGCTGGAGTTCCCAGCTGTTCTCCGAGTGTAGAGGTTCTCTCTCACCGGCTCTGGAACCCGATTGAGCCATGTGTTACCTCTAGTCAAATTTAATTTAATACTGAACATCACAGTTATTTTACAACACAATGTACAATCTTTCATAACAAAATGTAATTTAAAGGGTTTTTACCCTAGTATTTTGGTGGCTCAGGCATTGTGACCTAGCATTTTTCGATTTTAAAAACCTGATGATGGACTGTGTGGTCCGAAAACGTTTGTTTTATTGATGTGGCCCTTTTAAGGGTTTTTTAAATAAATATACCCATTTACAAAGATTAACCTCTTTTTTTTTTAATCAAAATGACATCTCGTTATTTTACCCATAACTTAAAACAGACAAGAACAGGCTCATATGAATCGTATGAATATTCAATAAAACGCTAACAATACAACAACTAGACCTACGGCAACATCAGTGCCTATAACCCATTACCCAAAACAATCGCAAAGCAGCTATACTAATGCAGTAAGAAATGGTACTGAACAACAATCAAACATTAATGACATGATGAACAAATTCTGAGAAGAATTCAAAAACATGTTCCAACAATTACTACAACAAAACAGCATGGTCCTAAACATGCTGACAACGCTTATATCTAAAATTCAATAGCTTCATTAAAACAGTAGACTTGAATGCGAATGGACTTCCAAAGGACAAAAATGAGGTAGAGTTATTTTTCCTACACGATGAAATTGACATTTTGTTAATAAGTGAAAGCCATTTCACAAGTCAAACTTACTTCAAGATATCTCACTACACAACCTATTCCTCAAACCACCCAGGCAATACAGCCCACGCTGGATCAGCTATTCTGATAAAAAATACTATTAAACACATGCAGCACTACCAAAGTAGGCTGAAAATTGCATGCAAGCTACAGTTATCAAAGTCAGTATGAGGTCTTATGAACTAACAGTCGCAGCAATCTACTGTCCACCCCGATACAAAAAGAAAGAAGACTTCAAAAACTTCTTTGAAACTCTAGGACATAAATTTATTGCAGGGGGAGACTTCAACAGCAAACATATTATTTGGATCTCGTCTCACAACTAAAGGCAGAGAACTAGTAAGCCTAATAACTGAAAACAACTACCACCCTTTGTCAACAGATTCAAACAAAACACCTGATCTACTGGTTCTATTTATCCCTCAGGGCATCTCTCCTGGTTGCATGGAGGTCATGCCGAACTATGATCTCTGATCTGACCACTCCCTAATTATAGCAACCATCAGCAGCTTTATAGTCCTCAAAACGGCCACACCAAGGCTACACACTGGGAGAACTAACTGGAAAAGATACCGCAGCAAATTCGAAGATATTAGGCTACAAGTAAGCCTCAAAACAACAAGAGAGATAGACGAAACATTAACGGCTTTAAACAACTCTTACAGAGGCCGTACAAAATGCTACACTTGCAAACAATACAGGTAGCAAAAACCAATACATCCCACAGCTGACATTAAAAAGTTGGTAGCTCAAAAAGGAAAGCTAGGACCAAATGGCACCAAACCCATGCCCCAGCAAACAAGACTACATTAAACAGGCTAAGTAATCAACTGACAACTGATCGAAAACTAAAAAAAATCCAAGACTCTGGTACCTCCAATTAGAAACGAACAGGGACCAACACTACAGTGGGCCAGAAGTGATGAAGAAAAAACAATGCTATTTGCCTAGCACCTAGCTCAAGTATTTACCCCCAACGACGACGCTCCAGATATTGAAATTGAAAGGGACATAAATAACATTGAAGAGAACAAACCAGTAATCAGACCACTAATCAAAAATGAAGTTCAACAAGAAATCCAATATTAAAACATTAGAAAAGCTTGTATAACACCGAAGATGATGAAAGAACTACCAGATAAAGGAATCATACTGATTACTCTCATCTTCAATGCTATTCTACAATTAAACTACTGGCCAAAGCTCTTTAAAACCGCTGAAATAATATTAATCCCAAAAGCTGAAAAAATCCAAACGAGGTTTCATCAGATAGGCCAATAAGTACCTGTCGTATCCAAAATACTTGAAAGGTTACTGTTACAAAAAATTAACTCAGACCCCAATACGGAGGAATGGATACCCAACCACCAATTTAGCTTTCGAAAAAAAAAACATTCTGCATTTTCTGCAATGAAAAGCAAATACTACTGCACAGCTGCTTTTCTAGATGTTAATCAAGCCTTTGTTAAGGTTTGGCACAGATGCCTGATTTTCAAAATCAAGAAATAAAATATACCGAATGAGTAAAGAAAACTTTTACAGTTTTAGACAATTAAATGGAGTTATACTGATCATAAAAAAGACACTACAGGTGTTCTTTTTAAATGGAGACCAGTGCTGTACTTTTTGTATGAAAAATCTTCAAGAACATTTTCGTTTTCTTTTAAGGGAACCTTATATGAAGAGTTTGTATTTTTTACATCTATATGTGTACAAAAAGGAGCTGGACGTCCTACTATTAGCATGGAGAATATGTTTAAAAAATCCTTAGCATTCAGCCGATAAAAATCAATAAACTGAAGTAGGACAACATTCAAAAACTTCTTGAAAAATAAAAAAAAAACAAAAATAAATACTGTCAACGAAGTTTCTGAAGAATGATCTCAAGAAGAACCTGAAACGTTCACAGCAAACTAAGTTTGGCGAAGATATGGAAGATATTACAGTTCTGGACTCTGATTATGAGTGAAATCTGCTTAGTGTAGATTTAAAGATGTTTTTTCTAATAATTTACCGATTAAAGCTAGTTTTTAAAAGTCCCTTTTTTCCTGCAAAGATCCTTAGTGTATATTTTAGTCCGGGTATTAATTAGCTGGTCTTTCAGAATCCAAGTTCAGGTCCAAATGCTTTTTTTTCAAAATACAGCAAAATGGGTTATTCTTTTAAAAATTTGCGCGGGTATAATGGTTATATAATTCTTTAATAATAAAATAATACTATGTACGACCCCTAGTTAATGTACAAGGAATTTTAATTATCCAAAGAATTTTAACCTTACAATATCTCAAAACTAGTAAAATTGCACTTGAATCCCTTTTATTCTAAGCCCCTCAATAGACAAGTGAATAAGTTGTAAATAAATAGTGAATCATGAGTTTACATTCATATTTCAATAAATATTAAGGTAAACTAACCTATGTTCTTTTTCTAATAGTTGAGTCCTAAGTGACTTCTTTTCATTTTCATATACATAAAGCTGTTTTTCGAGCTCTGCTTCCATTTGAAGAGACTTTTTGCTCTCTTCTTCCAAACCCTCTGCCATAGTATCAATTCGAGATTTTTCTTCAGATAATATCTAAAACATTGTTCACATATTTCAATTACAATTTTATGACTAAAATGTATTGCAAAACAAGTTGTTAAAGGTCTTATTTTTTGAATTTGAAAAAGAAAACTCAAACCTGTGCTAGATCTTCGCTTCTCTTTCTTTCTTCAATGTATTTTACAATGATTTTTTTTCTTTCTGCTAATAACAATAAAACTATTTGCTTTTGACGAGCTTTTTCATCGTCGGCAACTTCCAACTGCCTCTTAATTTCTTTTTCTAACTTTTTCCTTGTGTTTCTTTCCATTTCTAATTCTTGTTTTAAGCGAGTTCGTTCCATCTCCAGTCCATATGTGATGTCATCGCCTTGAGCTGTGTCATGTTCATGTTTACACTTTTCTTCCTCTAATTCCTGAATAACCTAAAAATATATTAATTAATTTCAACATAGACTAAATATATTCAAAGTGTTTTTCATTTCTTTAACCATTACACATCTCCATTAATGACTATTACACCAGTCTCCCGTTGGAAAAATTATTGATTTCACATAAAAATCCTAAACATATATTATATATTTTTGGACAATTGCGGGCAACCTGCAAGATGGCATTGACCAATTTATACACAAGAATACAGGGGAGAATATCGAAAATGAATCTTGGATGTAGAGGGCGACATTAGTATAATTGAATATCTGTTGAGTAACCTCGATTATTCTATAATCAATTAACATTATAGCATTTAATAATCCAATCAGAGTACAAGATTATCAGGTATTGGGCTAGGTGCACAGAAATTGATTATTTTTGGGTATTTTTCCACTGGAAAGCTTTTCAATAACTTACGAAAAGTTGTAATAAGAATATGCAAACTGTTTTGCTTTAAGTCAAACCATTTGAATGTCACAACAGTCTTCAATGTAAAAAATTGCCACTTTTCAAACGTCAATAACTAAAAAAAATTGAATTTAGGTATAGGATATGATAAACGCAATCTATTACCTATTGAAATTTGACTAACTATAGTTTTTCCAGAATCGATCAATGCAGTTCCCAGAAGTCTCACCCTGTATAGCTATAAAAAAATGTAATTTTCTGTTTTAATCTAATTTGTGTTATAAATTAAAATCAAAAAAAGGTAGTTTTACTTGTAATAGAGCCTTGCCGTAAAGATCTTTGGATAGTCCTGTATGTGACCACTACTTAGACCTGTTTGCTGCCAAGCACATGTGAAATCTGGCAAATGCGCATTCCTATCTTAACCGTACTGCACTCTCAGTGTGACTTTAACTATAGTAGAGTAACGAAATAAAAATAAAGCAATAAAAAAAAAATTACCTTCTTGTGCTTATTTTCTGCTTCTTTTAGTATATTCATCATATGTTGATGTGCCCAACGTTGTTGTAAAATTAGCTGCCCAAATGCATGTAATTGTTGCTCAGCTGCCTGTGCCATTTCTTTTTCGCTGACTGGTGATTTAGTTTTTGGCCCATCTGCAATACTGTCCCTAAGTAAAGCTGTATAAGGGTCTGATAATACCACTGGTCTGTACCTTCCCACATTGACTACTTGTTTTAGCCTCTCAGACTAAAAATTATATAATTTAATGTACATTAGTTGATAGATATATTATGAAGACTTTCATTTTCTTCATTAAAAAATATACTAAATGTTGCATAACATATTTATAAGTCCTTCTTAATGTTCCACAATATATTTATTAATTCATGGTATATTCCCATTTAAAAGAATACAACAACAGTGCCCTGACTTAATAACAATCAATAATTATAAAAATTTAAACCAAAACAATTAACAACAAATATATAAAAATGATATCCTTAAGAAACTAACTGAATTGTGCAATATAACTGAGAATTTAGTAAGGTTTACATGAGTTGAGTATACATGAGCTGTTCAAGTTACTTGGAGCAAGTAACTGGAAACCAGTAACTCGAATTGTGTAGACAAATATTCAAGCGCTCGAAGAAGAACTTAAAAAAGCAGCCAAGCAAGTTAAGTTACTTGAAAGCCATCCAACTTACTTTACCAAAGACTCCCACCACGGAACACAGTGGTGGTAGGACCATACTTGAACAGCTTATTTCACACTTGCTTCATGTAAACAGCCTATCTCACACTTGCTTCATGTACACAGTCGTTCAAGTAAATACATACTTGCTGTTAAGAATTGGTCGTTGGAAGCCAATTTTTAAGTATTTGAATTTTATTAAAAGAATATAGGTGGAATGAAGAAACAACATTGAAGTTTGTAGAGTTGCACTAAGAAGAAACATGTTTTTGCGATTTATCTAGCAGTCAGTATAGAAATAAACAAATGAGAGATTCTGCTATTAATAAAATCAAACAAGAAATGAAAATAGACGGAAACATGCTAAAATTGCAAAGCGTAAATGCTTTACTTTAATGTCCTTCAAACTTAAATACTTGATTAAAGTTACTTGAACATCTAGTCAACTCATGGAAACTAGGCTTTCATCTAAATTACTTATTATATTAAAATCAATAGTTAAATTAATATAGCTATCTCACATGCTTTCAAATATGCCCTCAACAAAATTGAAATACACACATAGTCTTACGCACTGATTCACTTTCCTCTATACACTCCATTAATGCTATATCCACCAACCATCCTCTCATCCAAGATATATGTGACACATATTAGATTCTTATAAATCAAAATACAACAGTCACTGTGATATAGGTACCATCCTATGTCAGGATTAGTCATAACTAAAAAGCTTATTACCTGCCAAAAAAACCACAATCATCCATGGACACCATTATCAATATACAAATCTGCAATGATCTAAAAGCTAGACTGAACAAGCTTAATCTATCCACTTGGCAGATTCACTAGAATAAAGTTACTTCAGCACTGCATAAAATTAAACCCTCCGTAAACCTATTTAACTGTCCTGGTTTATCTACGAAAAATATGGCAATCATACAAGGATTGCATATAGGACATACCCATCTAACACATGACTATCTGATGACATTATCTCCACAATCAAAATGTCAGCACTGTAATATGACCCTTTGAATCAGACATATACTTATTGAATGTCCTTTTTCTGCCAAAATATGCCAAAAGCTAGGTATCAGTACTATCTTCAATGAGGTCCTAAAGCGTTTTTGCGATTTGATCAGCAAGGTGATCAAATTCCTAGAGAAAAGTAGACTGCTAAACATTTTTTTTATGTTAAATGTTAATGATATTATTGTTAATGTTATTGGTGAAATAGTTTTAATCTTTTGAAAATTTACAAGTTCCAACACACAACTCTGGTTTTTCCAGACACAAGGCAATGATACAAGTTTTTTTTTTATTTAGGAAGCAGTATCTGCAGCATTTAAATAGTGTTCATCTTCATTCCTCCTTTTTTTTTAAATTCACAAAGAGTGTAGAACAGTGAGTTCATTGAGAAGTTCTTGGAGGCAACCAATCTGGTAGTGGTAAAAGTATGTCAATTATTTCCATGCAGTAATCATAAAAATTTGGTTTTTGATTCCTGAATATTTTTTATACAACTAGAATACAATAACATTTACAAAATATGGATATAAATGTTTTGTACCATCTCATGGTTTTATAGCTAAAAGTGAAGTTGGTCAAAGTGATTGATTCTACTTATATAACTGTTCTATATTCTACAATGAAATATGTTTCACTAATATTACCCCTCTTTTATTAAATCCTTTTAAATTCAGCAGATATACAATATGGTCCTTTATGTTCCAATGCTTCTGCAATTATGCTATTTAAGTATTTAGCTAGAGTTTCCCCTTTCTTGAGATTTACTAAAACTACATCTTGTAGATTTTTTCTGTGTTTTCTTAAAGTACCAATACAGTATGTATTTTTTGAAGTATTATTTCCATCAAATTAACTATCTTATAAAAATTATCCACAAGCAAAGAATATCCTAACCACATATCATTTACAGTTTTATCTATGATTTTCTAGATTTTGTTCTTGCACATAACTAGCAGATTCTATGCAACTGACCAGGATTGGATAGGGTAAGTCTCAATACATTTGAGCATTATCAACTCAAGCCTACAACTTCATAGAAGTGTTACCTAAGGTCATAATACTTTGTTAAGAAGGCTGGGCTGAAGGGACAACTTTAAATTACTGATGAGCCACCAGACCTCTTTGGTCTAATGGAAGGGCAGTTAAGCTTCCACTTATATTGAACCTAACTTAACTTTATGTCTACAATATCTGTCATACTTCAAAATATAGGACCAGATCTTTTGATGGATCCAATAGCTGAGCAATGCACTGTTACTGTAGTTATCATCCTAATCCTGAAGAATGGAGATTATAAACTTTTTTTATAAAAAAAATTATATCCATATGATCCTTATACAACTTAGTTTTCAGGCCTTATCAACTTTTACCTAGATATCACATCACATCTTACATACAATCTAATATTTTAAGAGAAATAAAATTTAATAAAAATATTAAGATGGTAAATCATTTCTAGAATCTTAAATTTAACAAAATTATTTGGATTAGATCAAGATTTTCTTTCGCCCAACTAATTATAATATATACTTATTATAGAATTCACTATTTTTTTAAATTACAATTCAGTCCAGCAACTTGTAATTACTTATCAGATTGAAATAGAAGTATGAAGAAACATTTTTATTTTTGATTAAGTATAACAATATGTTTTTGGACTTTTACCTACCTTTAAAGCTGCAATGACTATATCCCTGGCTTGAATCTCTCCTTCAAAAAAAGTAACCAATTTGATGAGATCATTCTTGGATAATTCCATTTTTGGATTTCTCTAGAAAATAAATTAAAAGATTTTTCTTCTTGAAAGTAAAACAAATATTAACATTTACTCAGCAGTGTGTGTTAAAAGTGTTTAATTATTCAAAAATATATTTTATTTAAAATTAAAAGTATAAATATCATTAATAGTTCATTGAAAGTTATCATAAAAATGTGACATTGTACAATATTTACAAACAAAATACACAAAAATATTAGAAAATATAAATAACTCATATAAATTTTAAAATTATGAATGATTTTACCATAGTTCGTAATTGTTTCTAATGTAACAAAATGCAAAAAAGTGCTAAAATATATCATGAAGAGTTAAGTAAACTCAACCAAGTAATTACACAAACAAAGCACACATGCATAACAAATGTGTTGAATATTTAATAAATGTTAAGCTTTTATTTTTGAACATAGTCTTACCTTTAAAGTTGCATTCGTTCGGTCCATTTGTTCATATTGATTCATGTTGGAAGTTCCTGGGTGTTCAGAAGAGTTATCAAAATCAACCCCAACACCAAGGCTACCCATAGTCCCTAGCCAGTCAATTCCTATGTTATTAGTAGCCATATTGGAGTATTTAGTTTATCCCTAAAGTTTTCTTGGTTTTTTAAGAACCAAAACGATCATTTCACATGTCCGTTGTAGTCGATAAAAATTTTGGACAATAAGTTTGATTTACAAGTTACATCCTAGTTTTCTTGGTCGAAACAAAATGCTTTTTAGGTTAGTGTAGACAATCGATTTTATCTGTGAATGTTAGGGACTTTTGTGTCACCCTAAAATTGACTTACAGACTATTTACATTATATTCTGTGAGTTGCATAGACATGCACTAGCTGTCAAAACATCATTTTATCTATGCCGCAATATTGAGTACACTGTTGTCAAATTTGTATCAAATTTCTTGACAAAAAAAAACAAATGAAATAGATTGCAAAAAGTTAAGTTAAGTAAGGAAATATATACAAAACCTTGTCACAGAATAATAAAATAATCAGAATGCTTACTCTGCTTGGCAAGATAAGTACGCGCATATCGTTCGCGCAGACGGAATCAGCCATGTTTTAAAAGGAACCAGTGTTGTTCAATGAAATTTTATTTGGTGTGTGTTAGAAAGTTCAGTGGTAGCATGTGTTAGGTGTTCACTGTTTGAGATTTGTCTTATATATAAATAATATAAATGTAAATATTTTATTGGTACCAGTGTAACAAGCCGGAACAATGTTTATGGAGATGAAATTTAAATCAATAAATTCTGCTTCACTTACTAATGATTGTGCAATGATTTTTATTCGGTGCAAAACGTTCTTTTTTTATGTATATATATTATTTGTATATACTATTTATATGTAGAGTCCCTCAGGGAGCATATCATGTGGCCACTAAAAAATGTCAACTCCTCTTCTTTATTAATTAACAGGGTGATTTGTGTAATTGACCATTTATTTCATTTTACTGTAGTGTTTATACGGCTCATTTGATTTTTTAAATTTTTGCATGATACAGTACACTACTATTAAGCATTCGACTGGTATTAGCTAAACTAAAAAATTCCAGGACTGGCTTTGGAAAAATTAATTTAGGGATTCGTATTAAATATTACACCCTGTATATATTTTTTTAAAATGCAATAAGTGATTTTCAAACTACATAAATAGCCAATGAAAACGACTTATGCGACAATGTTGTCGCACTTTTATTAAATTTTTAGTGAACGATCAAATCTTACCAAAAATAGAACAACCATAATGAAGTATCAAATTATAAGGTATTAATTTAAACAAATGTTATTAATTTCAAATATTTTAATTAAAATGAGTTCCTACAACATAATCTAATACGTAGAAAATTAACATCTTTACTGTCGCTTTGTATTATCTCTAAGATAGAATCAATTGTTTTTTAATTTTAAATTTTTACTCATAGATCGTATTGGGGCATTATTTTCGATAAATAATAAATTAAATTGATTAAAAAGTCAAACCTCTTGTATGTGTTAGTTTTTGTTGATTGTAAATGATTAAAATTTTATGTCCAACAAAATGTCAAATAATAATACATTGCATCAACTGTACTAAATAAAAATAAATCTAAAAAAGTTGACGTTTCTTGATATTTTATACCCATTGTCATTATTGTCATTATCAATTGTTATTTATGTGTACAAGAATACATATTTCTTCTGTCATATCTACGTTAAGTACATGGTGTTAGTTTTGGTAGAGCTTTTGTTACTTTCGTTCAAAATGCCACATCAGTTTTCGACCACAGAATATGCAGACATAATATTTGTTTATGGATTCTGTAATGGGAATGGTAGGGCTGCTAGTAGAGAATATCGCAGGAGATTTCCTAATCGTCGAACTCCCAGTCATCCAAAATTTGGGTCAGTTTTTAATTATCTGCGAGAAAATGGCACTTTTCCTAGTGGAACAACAGAGCGACATGTAGATGAAGCGCAGGAAGATGACATTATGGACGCCGTTACTATGAACCCTACAATAAGCACTAGACAAGTAAGTCGAGAACTCAATGTTACTCAATAAAAAGTAAGTAGAGTCTTACAAAAAAGTAATCTACACCCATATCACATTCAAATGGTTCAGCGACTACATGCTGGAGATGAGATCGATAGGTTGGAATTTTGTAGATGGATTAACAATAATCGACCAACGCTATACAGGACACTATTTACAGATGAAGCCCAATTTACCAGAGACGGGATAAATAATTCACGAAATTCACATGTGTGGGCAGAAGAAAATCCCCATGCTATTCGAGAACGTCGTTTTTAGTTAAGGTTTTCGGTTAACGTGTGGATTGGTGTCATAAATAACCAATTAGTAGGTCCTCACTTTTTTGATGGTCCTTTAACAGGGCAGGTCTATTTGAACTTTCTACAAAATATTTTGTCGAATTTGCTTGCCAACGCGAACGTTGCTATCCGAGGGATGTATTTTCAGCATGATGGGGCACCCCCACACTTTTTACTGACAGTGAGACAACATCTCAATAATGTTTATGGCAACAGGTGGATAGGACGTGCAGGTCCTATTTCGTGGCCTTCAAGATCCCCTGATTTCAATCCAGTTGATTACCATATGTATGGGGACGATTGAAGCAACTAGTTTACGCAGTGAATATTAATAACCGACAACAATTAATTGATAGAATTATACATTGTTGTAATACTATTAGAAACGATCCCCAGAGTATCCGTAATTCAATACGTCAATTAACAATTCGGCAACAAAAATATGTACAGGCTGCAGGGTTCCATTTCGAAAATCTATTTTGAATTATTTTAATTTTGTTACCATTATTGTATCTTTTCCAGTTATAATTTATGGGTTTATCATAACTATGTACATATTTTTAGTTTTTTTTTTAAATTGTTCTTCGTTATTGTTAGTAGTTACTGTTTTTTGTTGTGCAGTGACTCATATGTATATATTGACAAATATGTATTCTTGTACACATAAATAACAATTGATAATGACAATAATGACAATGGGTATAAAATATCAATAAGCGTCAAACGGTCAACGCCAACCTTCATTTTAAACTCTTTTAGATTTATTTTTATTCAGTACAGTTGATGCAATGTATTATTATTTGACATAAAATTTTAATAATTTACAATCAACAAAAACTAACACATACAGGAGGTTTGACTTTTTAATCAATTTAATTTATTATTTATCGAAAATAATGCCCCCATACGATCTATGAGTAAAAATTTAAAATTGAAAAACAATTGATTCTATCGTAGAGATAATACAAAGTGACAGTAAAGATGTTAATTTTCTATGTATTAGATTATGTTGTAGGAACTCATTTCAATTAAAATGTTTGAAATTAATAACATTTGTTTAAATTAATTACCTTATAATTTGATACTTCATTATGGTTGTTCTATTTTTGGTAAGATTTGATCGTTCACTAAAAATTTAATAAAAGTGTGACAACATTGTCGCATATGTCGTTTTCATTGGCTATTTATGTAGTTTGAAAATCACTTATTGCATTTTAAAAAATATATATACAGGGTCTAATATTTAATACAAATCCCTAAATTAATTTTTCCAAAGCCAGTCCTGGAATTTTTTAGTTTAGCTAATACCAGTCGAATACTTAATAGTAGTGTACTGTATCATGCAAAAATTAAAAAAATCAAATGAGCCGTATAAACACTACAGTAAAATGAAATAAATGGTCAATTACACAAATCACCCTGTTAATTAATAAAGAAGAGGAGTTGATATTTTTTAGTGGCCACATGATATGCTCCCTGAGGGACTCTACATATGGTAGAAGTATGTAAAGTTCCTCATGACTCACCCTGTATATGAAGTCTATTTGGTTACGAACAACTCGTTCAGGTGTATCTGCTGGTAATTTCCAGGTGTAAAGACGACGTTTTGGAAGTTTGAAAATTGTGTTTGTTATTACTAATTGCTTTTCTATGCAAAAAGATGCCAAAATATCTCCTTTTTCATTTCGTATTTGTAGACCATATTTTCCTATGATATCTTCCTGTTCACCTTCACCAATCTTTGCATTAAAGTCTCCCATGATAATATTGAGATCGTGTTTTTTGTAGGTGCTAATACTTTTTCTAAATCATGATAGAATTTTTCAATGTCTTCTTGTTCATTGTCTTGTGTGAGTGCATACTTGTAATATGTTCACATTGATTGTTGTTGATTGTATTTGTATCATCAGTATCCTGTCTGAGAATACGACGACGTTTTTTACAGCTTTATCTCTTTTCTTCGACACAATTATTGCTACACCATTTTGGTGTTTTGAGCTGTCTTCTCCTGAATAGTATACAATGTGATCATCTACAGTTACTTTTCCATACCCTGGTCATCTCATTTCACTTATTATAAGGATACTTATATTTAGACGCTTCATTTCTTTAATGAATTTTTCCTGGTTCGTACATGCTTCTTACCTTCCATGTACCTATTTTTCTTTCTTTAAAAAATGTGTTCATGTTTCCAGCTGATCGGGAGATTCTTAGCACCCTTGCTCCATTTAAGGAGCGCCCGTACTCGGGGCTGTTGTATTTATCAGCCATTTCCATGATTGTTTCTTGGGAAAATTAGGCTCTAGGTGGTTTCCCGTTGCTTTCCTAGAGTGTGTAATAGAAGGAAATATAGTGACCCGTCTGCCCCCGGAAACCTAATAGCCATTTGGGGCCGGAAGAAACAAGAGTTAGCCAAGAGAGGCCGATAGGAAAGAATAAAGACATTTCACCCAAGACAAGTTGAAAAAGAGTGAAATGTGAAGGCCCTTATGATGCGCCAGGTGCGTTTCATAAGCGTATAAGTATTAATACACTTTGTGTTCCCGCTCATACCTCGGGGTATTGACTACAGACTGTATGGCTCGTCCAGCATACCATAGCATGGAGGGAAGGGTGCATGTCATTTTTTACAGTGTAGGCCAACTCCACTGCCTGACCAAATAATGGGAACTACTAATTTGAAATTTAAATTCAAATGTATCAGCTATAATTACATTTGGTATACCATGTCTTGCAAATATTTGCTTGAGTGGATTTATAATGTTGGACGATTGTTTACCTTTTATAGGGAATATTTCTAGCCAATTTGTTAAATAATCAGCAACAACCAAATAAGCTTTGCCACCATGCTATATAATATCACTATCCAATTTTTGAAAGGGCAATTCTAGGACATGAGATATTAATGGCTCTTCACTATTTGCATATATTTTGCTCAATCTCT